TTGTTGCCGCCGCCATATCCTGAAGACGCTGTGTGCTTCGTTGTGAAAGCGAAACTACTTTGTTTGGCCTTCCAAAAGAGGACGATATCGCTTCGTCATGCCTGGAGCTGATCTGTGCTGGTCGCTGAGGAAATACTTCAACTTCGTGCTGTGGATCGCCGGATCGGCTTTCACCGTGGACGAAGCGGAGTCCAGCCCGGGATCGTCACATGTGGTTGCCGCAGGCATCACAATATGGTAAGGGACGTAACATTTCCGTCACACGCTTGAGGAATTCAGAGAATCACAACGCACTGGATAGCTGGCCAATCAGAGCACACCTCGCTTTTTCAGACCGATGAGCTTTGTAAAAATCGACGCGTTTCAGAAGGCGAGGTATAGAGGAGAAACAATAATGTACAGTATGTGGAAAATAATGTGTTTTTTTAACCTTAAACCGCATAAACACATTTCATTACACCAAATACACAAAATAATGTTCTTTTTAGCAGCATCATATGACCCCTTTAACAAAACAACAGGACATTAATACTCTGATATGAAGTATTCTTAATAAAAGAATGAAAGAAAAACTAATATCTAAATAGACACGTGCAACAAAAGTCAAGCAGGCTTATGCAAAAGTTAGATTATAATAATAATAGATTAGAAAATCAATTCTGCACAAACAATGAATCCAGAAAAGCATTCAAAAATGGCCATAACAGAGTACATTTGCTGCATAATATTTCAACCTCCAGATGAGGCAATTAACTAAATCGACTTGTCTTGACAACGTAATAAGGCAAATAGGAGGAATGGCGCAGCAGAGTTGCTCACGGCCGGCTTGACCCCAGTCCAGTCATTGCTCTGTTCATAAGAGCACTTCAGTCACCGGCCGTGTGACCGCACTCACCAATGGAGAGGACAAATGGGCCACATTAATAACCAGAAATGAATCAGGAAAAAGGCTCAATGTGACAGTTAGACAGAAAAAAAGACACATTCAAAAATCCATCATCAGCCAGCAGAGGAAAATGGAGGAGGGAATTAGGTTTTGTGTTAGTTATCACATGACTCAGCATTCAGCACACTTCTGGTTTACAATTCTAATTTGTTATTGTGCAACAGTGACTTTGCATCTTATCTTTAGGTCCAGACAGATTTTTTGAGTATTTTCTACCCTCATTTTTAGAGAGAAAAAACTGCTTATTCATAATTCACTTCATGTGTGTCCACTGACTGAAAGGTCCAGATGGGTTTTTCTTACATGTCCATGAGCCAGGCGCACAGATGTGCTCGTATGTCACCTGAAGGTTGTGTAGGTACAGTATCCATCAGTGCCATCTGCTGTCTACATAGCATGACAAAAGAAAGAGTCACAAATTACCATTCTATTGCCTTATATACTGTATGAGTTCAAACTTCTTTATTTTGGCATTATTATATTTGTTTCTTGGCTAAAATGTCATGTTCTTGTCTTTATTCAGTCAGAGGTCCATTAGAGACATTTCAGTATCTTAAGAGGTTTGTTGACATTGTTTGTCATTTTGACCTTTTATGAACGACCCACATAATTTAAGGATTTAATTAAAGAGTTAATGCTTCTGCGTTTTCTGTACAGTATGTACCTGAAAGTAAAGGGAAAGAAAACAACAACCCAAGTCTCATTGTTGACTGCTATTTGCAATCGCTCTCGATGCCCCCTGAAATTAAATTATTTTTCATCTTCTTCATTTTAAGAGGGTTGAAAATGGACAAAATTACACAAGATTCTCTGAGTGCTGAGTGCACCGAAAGAAAATGGTCATGTTCAAGCAGAACAAGCTAAAATAAGAGTTATGAGCCAATAAAGGATATTTTGTCAGGGTATTTCAACCAGTTGTATTCCAGTTGATGCATACACATGCTAGTCGAGCTACAATCACATTATCCAGATCTGCTAGTCTGACTTCACTAAAAAAAGAGGTACAATTTTAGCCGGACTAAAACATGTACATGACATGTAAAAAATACGACTTACTGTTTTATTTGTTGTTGTTGTTTAAAGCAATACCAGGTTTAAAAAATACTTTTAATAATTTATTAATTATAAATTAATAAACATGCATTATATTAATTCAAAGTAACTGCAAAGACTTTGATGTTGTTACAAAAAAAAAATTAAAAATTAAATTTCAAATGTTTTTTCAAAAACTGAAAAAACAAGTTTCATAAAAATATTAAGCAGCACAACTGTTTAAAACATAAGAAGTGTTTTTTGAGCATGTGACACGGAAGACTGAAGTAACAGCTGCTGAAAATTCAGCTTTGCATCACAGGAATAAATTACATATTAAAATAAAACACTATAATAGAAAACAGTCATTTAAATTTGAAATATTATTTCATAATAGTACTGTTTACTGTATTTTTGATCAAATAATTGCAACTTTGCAGACTATGAGACTCCGTTGTAAATAACCCTTAGTTATTTGAATTAATTTCCAGGATTTATATATTATTCTTGTCACATTTGTTCAAAAACATAAAAAAATACTACGACTACAAACTTTTGAACAGTAGAATAAATACAATAAAATTTGACAAATTCTATTAAAAAAAACATTCCAAAAAGAAAACAAATTACTTTTGAAGTTCGACTGAAATTGAACTTGCATGTAAACACACTTACAAAGTCTTTTTTTCGTTTTTACTTACTGTTGCAGCAGATGTGTGAAGTGTGAGACTGTGGAATGGTCCTACTTTGATTAAAGCTCTTGGTCCACAGGGGACAGTTTTGCTTTGGTGTTGTGTTTCGTTTTTGCTGCAGGGCAAACATGTCGACCTCATCGCTGTGGAAATCTTGCTTCATTGGCCTGGAGAAAAAAAAAACATTCTTTTATGTTTATACTTCATATGTTTTCTACAACATAGAGCAGTGACAGAAGAGGAGGCCTGGTCAGATGTGGCCTCCTAGAGAGAGACGGATGTTTGAGAAAGACAATATTGTGAGCCTTGTGATCGAAGCCTGCCTCATCAGAGAAAGAGAGAGAGAAAAAGAGAAGTGAAGAAACCACATCTGTTTTCACTCAAAACAATCAGCATCAACACTGCAAGCAGCTTTCTAAAGCCTGCCGAGGGATGGCTCAGACCTGCAAATTTAAACATTCTATGCTTGAGTTTCAACACAGATTGAATGTAATGCATACGGACATGGAATCCCAATCAGTCAAGATGCCCAAACCAAAGGAGGCGGTTGAGTAGATCTCACCGTGGGACACATTAATATGAATAGAGCCCAGCTTGATGGATGAGAAGATGAGGATTTAATTTTTCACTCTGGATTTAGCAACTGGATCACTTTCTGGAACAGGAAAACCCTGGTGATGAAATGAAAAATCTTGTCCAAAACTGATAAATCTGGGGACAGTAAAGCAAAAAAACTAAATTAAATTAAAAAAAAATAAAATAAAATAATAAAATACACTACATATATGTGTGTGTGTGTGTGTGTGTATATATATATATATACACAAACACACACACACACATATATATTACATTCAATGATTAAATGTAAATCATTCCTTTATAATATTTGAACATGCCAGTTTCTACTCTGTTGCATTGTTCAGGTTCGAGATAGTCAAGGCAACTATCTGACTTGTGTGTTGTGAATCACTTAGACAAACAAATTTACTCATAGAATGAGAAAAAAATACTTTTATGCTACTACTGTATAAACTACTGGAAGTCTGCTGAGCCACAGCACTTTTAAATTATTTGAGGAACACTCTCTCTTTAAAGCTGAATTATTTACCC